ACTATATAGACAGCATGGTAATCAAGGCACATACTGTACAGGTGAAACTCGAAAAATTAGAATATCGTGCAAAAGTTCATTTCTTTCAGTAATGCAACTTAAAAGGTGAAACTAATATATGAGATAGACTCATTACATGCAAAGCAAGATAGTTCAAGCTGTGATTTGTCATAATTGTGATGATTATGGCTTACAGCTCATGAAAACCCCAAATCCACAATCTCAGAAAATTAGAATATTACATGCAATCAATAAAACAAGGATTGTACATAGAATAATATCGGAACTCTGAAAAGTATAAGCATGCATATGTACTCAGTACTTGGTTTGGGCCCCTTTTGCAGCAATTACTGCCTCAATGTGGCGTGGCATGGAAGCTATCAGCCTGTGGCACTGCTGAGGTGTTATGGAAGACCAGGATGCTTCAATAGTGGCCTTCAGCTCTTCTGCATTGTTCAGTCTCATGTCTCTCATCTTTCTCTTGGCAATGCCCCATAGATTCTCTATGGGGTTCAGGTCAGGTGAGTTTGCTGGCCAATCAAGCACAGTTATCCCACAGTCATTGAACCAGGTTTTGGTGCTTTTGGCAGTGTGGGCGGGTGCCAATACTTGCTGGAAAATGAAGTCAGCATCCCCATAAAGCTTGTCTGCAGAAGGAAGCATGAAGTGCTCCATAATCTCCTGGTAGACGGCTGCGTTGACCCTGGACTTAATGAAGCACAGTGGACCAACACCAGCAGATGACATGGCTACCTCCCCAAATCAACACAGACTGTGGAAACTTCACACTGGACTTCAAGCATCTTGCAGTGTGTGTCTCTCTTCTTCCTCCATACTCTGGGTCCTTGGTTTCCAAATGAGATGCAAAAGTTGCTCTCATCAGAAAAGAGGACTCTGGACCACTGAGCAACAGACCAGGTCTGTTTTTCTTTAGCCCAGGTGAGAGGCTTCTGACCTTATTTGTTGTTCAAGAGCGGCTTGACAAAAAGAATACATCATTTGAAGCCCATGACCAGGATCCATCTGTGTGTGGTGGCTCTTGATGCACCGACTCCAGCCTCGGTCCACTCCTTGTGAAAGTCCCCAACACTTTTGAATGGTCTTTTCCTGACAATCCTCCCCAGGCTGCGGTCATCCCTGCTGCTTGTGCACCTTTTTCTTCCACACTTTTCCCTTCCACATAACTTTCTATTAATGTGCTTTGATACAGCACTTTGGGAACATCCAACTTCTTTTGCAATTACCTTTTTGAGGCTTTCTCTCCTTATGGAGGGTGTCAATGATGGTTTTCTGCACAACTGTCAGGTCAGCAGTCTTTCCCATGATTGGGATTCCTACTGAACCAGACTGAGAGACCATTTAAAGGCTCAGGAACCCTTTTCAGGTGTTATGGCTTAATTAGCTGATTAGAGGGGGACACTTTGAGCCTAGAATATTGCACCTTTTCACAATATTCTAATTTTCTGAGATTGTGGATTTGGGGTTTTCATGAGCTGTAAGCCATAATCATCACAATTATGACAAATCACGGCTTGAACTATCTTGCTTTGCATGTGATGAGTCTATCTCATATATTAGTTTCACGTCTTAAGTTGCATTACTGAAATAAATGAACTTTTGCACAATATTCTATTTTTTTGAGTTTCACCTGTATATTCCAAAGAGGGAGCTCCTGATAAGTATATTGGAAACAAACATAGTTCACATCAATCCAGCCACTCTGCCTAGTCAAGGACCCTTTGTGAAGCGTGGTCCCTATTTCTAATCTATGAGAATCTCCATGTTGTAGCATATATAGTAATGATTAAATTGAGAGTGGGTATGCATGGAGGTAGCCCTTTCCTCCCTATGATTTGAAAAAAAAAATCCGATAAAGTATGAATTCTTAATTCAGTAAAGTACCCTCTATTGATCTCTTCCTCTAAATCTAAGAATTCCTTTTTTTGTCTGGTAATCTGACCTCCTGTTAGACGAGGATGGCTACATTCATTCTCCATGGTCCCACTGTATGTAGGAACTTGCTCACTCCCAAGAAAAACTATGGACTATGGGATTTGTAGTTTCCATAGAGCAGTGCATGTGACCACAACTAATGTACACTGCTCCATCCAAGCAAATAGAGGTGAGGGGGAAAAGTGGAGGTACAAGAGCTCATGGAGGACATTACAAGGAGGCAGAAATACACAGTGAGGAACAATTTTATGGAAAACACTACAGGTCCATTAATTAATGGATGTGTATGGAATATTTTTGGAGAATATGGATATTGTTGTCACGTTAAAGGTCCAGGGACACACCTTAAAAATGTCAAACAAAATTCTACTAGTTTATGGCTACGTTAAACTGGTTGGAAAGGATGAAATTTTTATTTTTTTCAAAAAAAGCAAACATGTTATACTTAGCTGCTCTGTGCAGCCCAGATTCTCCCCTTCTGCTGTCCCCTGCCTACGCTCCTGGCTCCTCCCCGCTGGTCATGTGGGCTCACTACTGAGCCTGCCCTGTGTGTCTATGTGTCCACTTTCTGTCACTGCTGTGTGACTCTCTGTCACTGCTGCCTCTGAACCTATGAGAAGGGAGAGAGCCCCTGCTCTTGTGCATATTACTGGATCAGGATCAGGCTTTTGTAAGTATAAGGGGGAGCTGCACAGAGAAGGTTTTTTACCTTGATGCATGCAAAAAAACACCCACCTTTAGAACCACTTTAGATAAGTCCCTTGTCATAAGAAATTCAACGCTTTAGAATAGACTGTGCGCATGACCCAAGGGCTCAGCAATAGTGTTGGGCATGATGTTCGAGTCGAATACACAAATGGTAATTTGACCGCCACGCCCCACAATGCACTGGGCCCTGACAGTGCATGCCAAAGCAATGCACCTGACCACAGTCAGGTGCAATGCTTTGGCCGATCACAGCGCATCATGATGTTACAAGGGGGCGGGGTAGCCCCTCCTCTTTGCGACGTCATCACAGTATTTAAGAACTGTCATCCCAGCACAGCTGTTAGATGGCGGGAGCCAGTGTCGAGAGTGGAGCTTTTTTTTTTTTCTTTTTTCGGGTCAGCGGTGGCAGTGGTTATCGTGATTGACGTTAGATCTACTTCAGGGAACATGTTTGTTTTTAATAAAGGACTTGTCAAAGACTGTCTTCTGTCATTTTTTACACAACATTTTTTTTTGTGAATGAGTACCGGTACCATGTACCTGATACTCATTCACATGGGGGAGGGGTGGGATCTGGGGGCCTCCTTGTTAAAGGGGGCTTCCAGATTCCCATAAACCCCCTGCCCACAGACCCCCACAACCACCGGCCATGGTTTCGGGGAAGAGGCCCTTGTCCCTATCAACATGGGGACAAGGTGTTTTGGGAGGGGGAGCCCCCATGCCCCAAAGCACCCCCCCCATGTTGAGGGCATGCTTGCTCATCCCCCCTTTCCTGATCTGCCAGGCTGCATGCTCAGATAAGGGTCTGGTATAGATTTTGGAAGGGACCCCATGCCATTTTTTTTTCTAAATTTGGCGTGGGGGTTCCCCCGAAAATCCATACCAGACCCAAAGGGCTTGGTATGGATGGGGGGGACCCCACATGTTTGTTGTTTTGTTTTTTTAATTGCCAGGCATTCCAGGAATTCTATTTACATTCAGCTGAAACATTACGATACCCCTTAGTGTATTGTCCCCTCTGTTCAAAGTTTGAATGTTCGACCTCGGCCCAGCACTGCTCAGCAAGTTCTGACATGAACAAAAACCTTAGTACAGAAAACCTAAGGCTCTACATGCTGGCTAAAAAAATATACAAATTATAAATAAGCCATGTATCATGATTAACTGAACAAAATATTTTTTTAATTGTATTTTTAGTCTACACCATAATAAATAAAGAAATGTGTACAAAACCACTGCACATTCTTTAATCTTCATATCTTGACACCTGCTTTGGAAGTACAATACTCCTATAATCTTTTCTATAACATGATTGTGTATTTACCACAATCAATCAAATGTAGATGATCAGTCAGGAAGAGAGGCATTGTGACTTATGTAATACCACCACAGTGGAAACCTTTTGAATTGAGCCTTAGTATACTGCACATCTTGTATACATTTTGCAGTCTCGGTCCAAAATCCTGCCATTGCTTATTCCAAATGATTGCATGAGGAAGATAAGGACAAGTGAGCAGTAGAGGGAGGACCAGGCTGATAAAACATTTTCTGATTTGATTAATATGTAAGAGCATAAAAAAATATCCAATAAAACCATATGGATCAACATTATGTAAAAGCAGTGGTTAGTATTTTTGTCTATAGATAAATTCCAAAGAGAACTATGCTGTCCTACTAATGGTAGCTGTCATTGTGCTACATGCTGGTTGTCCAGTGCACTCCTGTACCTTTAACCACTTCAAGTCTGGACACTTTCACCCCCTTCCTGTCCAGGCCAATTTTCAGCTTTCAGTGCTATCACACTTTGAATGACAATTGCGCGGTCATGCAACACTGTACCCATATGAATTGTTTAGAATTTTTTTGAGACAGATAAAACTTTATTTTGGTGGTATTTATTCACCACTGGGATTTTTATTTTTTTGCTATATAAATGAAAAAGTCCAAACATTTTGAAAAAAAAAGTGTTTTTCTTATAAAATTTTGCAAATAAATAATCTTTCTTCATAAATCTTGGCTAAAATGTATTCATCTATCTTTTTAGTAAAAAAAAAAATAACCCAAATTAGTTTATAACCAAAAATTATAATTTTTCAAAAAGTTTTTTTACATTTTTATTTTTTTTTTATATTATTATTTATGTTTTTTTTTTTTTTTTTTTACATACCGTCACCGTAGCAGTACAGTGTCACCATAGTGACACTGTACTAGTGACACTGTACTACATGTGGGAGTTGATGAAGATTTTTTTACACTGATTGCTTTTACACCCATAAAGGCTGTAAAAGTAATAATTTCTCCTCTCTGGCTGCATTCTTGCAGCCATTGAGAAATACTGTGAGAGCTGTGATTGGTCACAGCTTGTCACATGGTACAAGGCTGTTGTGAATAGCCTTGAACCATGTGATCTCTGTGATCATTCACAGATTTCACAAGTAGTAAGAAATGATGTCAGGAAGTGACATCGTGTTCACTACTGTTTCTGTGATCACTGATTAGCCAATCAGTGATCACATGAATCAGGACCTCACACAGAGGTCCCGTGCAGTGATCGGTATTCCGGAGGTCACAGCGGGCACCGGGCAGGAAGTAAACACAGGCAGTGACTGCGAAGGCCATTTATAAACGGCCTCCAGCTCCTGCACTGCTCCCGTCCGGCCGTTTTATGTACATGGGCATCGGACGGGAAGAGTTAAAGATGGGTGGGCTCCCTCAGGTCCATCTGCCCTTGGTCTATCCTATGGGGGCTCTCAAAATCTGTAGAGTTAAGAACTGCAGAATATCGGGGTGCCATGATGAGGCTCTGTAGCTTACACATGTATTGTCACAAGTTAGCCTGCAGCCTCTTGTTTGTTTAGTCTCACCTCCTTGCTGTTCTTGTTTCCTTCATGTGTGTTTGTCTGTGCTCACCTATGGGCGTCGTCTGCTATTCTCTGGGTTTTATGTCCTTCCCTTTCATCACTTCCTGGCCCACCTCCTAGCTGGCTTATCTATTTAAGACATGCTCAGTCTGTCTCACTTTGCCTGAGCAACGTTTGTTGTCGGTGATCCCCTGTGTTCTACTGAGTATCTGTTATTGTATATCTGTGTACCGACTCCAGCTTCGTTCCTGACATTCCTCTTATATTGTCTATCCGTGTACCGACCCCGGCTTTGTTCCTGACATTGCTAGCTTTCCGCCTGTCCTGACTTCGGCTTGCCAACTGGATCTCCTGTGTTCTACTCCCATTGTACCCTGCTCCTGCTAGCTGTCTCCTCTACCTCAGCTGGGTGTACCTGGGGGCTGCGACCTGGTTCCAGCCTGCTCCAAGTCCATCACCACCATCAGCGGCTCTGGTGAATAAGCAGGCTGGGGCTTAGACTCCGCGCCCTGGGGAACCCCAAGTTGTGGATTTGAGAGCTCACTACCACAGGTGTTGACAGTTTGCTCAGGCCATGAGCTCAACTTGCATGGGATGATGAGGCCCTTTCTGCAACCTTTTGGCAGGGTTTAGCGGACCGGGTTAAGGATGAATTAGCCGGAAGAAACATACCCACCGTCCTGGATGAGTTGATTGCTCTTAGCATCCAAATTGATGTCCGCTTCCAGGAACGAGATCTGGAAAAATATGATCCACGTCAGTCCCAAGTTTTTTCATTTGCTCCTGTTTCCCAAAAGTTCCCTGAACCACCTACCACTGCAGCTGGGCCGACTTCCAAGGAACCAATGCAGTTAGGCCGAACACGCCTCACTCCACAGGTGTGATCGCGTTGCCTAAGACTTGGTCTATGCCTTTACTGTGGGGCTAAGGGTCATGTAATTAAGTCTTGTTCAGTCCGACCGGGAAACTCCCGAGTCTAGGTCACTTTGAGGGGAGGAGATCCTTCCCTCAAATTTTTATACCTGTCTCCATCCATTGGGCTCTGAAGTCATACTAGGTTTCGGCTTATGTGGACTCTGGGGCAGCCGGAAATTTCATCGAACAATCCTTGGCCGCTGAATTGGGCATTCCTCTTGTTCCCTTGATGATGCCCCTATCAGTATCTGCAGTTGATGGCTCTACCTTGGCTTTAGGAGCTCTACGCTTTCGAACTAACAGCATAACTATGCATGTGGACTTTGTTCATCGTGAGGAAATTTCCTTTCTGGTCCTTCCTAAGTCTTCAAGTCCCATCATTCTGGGACTTCCATGGTTGCAGAGACATTCACCCTATCTTGACTGGAACTCTGGCCAAGTATTGTCGTGGGGCTCACAATGCCATCAGACTTTTCTCCCTAAAGTGAGTCTTCCTAGGTGTGTACCTGTGGCTGAGGTCATCACCTCTCCAATACTCCCTCCTCACTATCAGGCCTTCCAAGATGTCTTTTGCAAGAATACTGCTGACTCTTTGCCACCCTATGACTGTGTTATCGACCTCCAACCTGGGTCTTCTCCACCACGAGGTAAAGTTTACCCTCTCTCCATTCCTGAGACTCAAACCATGTCCGAATACGTCCAGGAGAATCTGCAGAAAGGTTTTATCCATAAGTCCAATGTTCCTGCATGGGCTGGCTTCTTCTTTGTGGAGAAAAAAGATGATTCGCTACGACCCTGCATTGATTATAGAGGTCTCAATGCTATCACCGTTAAGAATCGGTATCCCTTACCTCTGATTTCTGAACTCTTTGACAGACTCCGAGATGCTCGAATTTTCACTAAGCTAGATCTCCGTGGAGCATACAATCTGGTTAGGATCCGTGAGGGTGATGAGTGGAAGACAGCTTTCAATACCAGAGACGGGCATTATGAATATCTTGTGTTGCCCTTCGGCTTGTGTAATGCTCCATCCGTCTTCCAGAACTTCGTTAATGACATTTTTTCTGATCTGCTGTTTGTTTGTGTCATTGTCTATCTGGATGATATACTCATTTCTTCTCCAGATTTAGAAACTCATCATCAGCATGTGAGTACTGTTCTCCTACGTCTTTGGGACCACCGCCTGCATGCAAAGTTGAAGAAGTGTCTTTTCGAACAAACCCAAGTTCCTTTTCTAGGCTACATAGTCAGGGATAAAGGGCTGCTTATGGATCCTGCCAAACTCCAAGCCGTTTCCAACTGGCCTCAGCCCTCTGGGTTGAAAGCCACACAGCGCTTCTTGGGATTCACTAACTTCTATCGCCGGTTCATTCCTAACTATTCTTCGCTGGTGGCTCCAATCACTTCTTTGACTTGAAAGGGTTCCAACGCCAGAACCTGGCCTTCTGAGGCAGTCGACGCATTCCACAGACTAAAATCCACCTTTCTCTCTGCATCGATTCTCATACATCCAGACATTTTTCAGCCTTTTTTCTTGGAGGTACACGCTTCATCTTTGGGAGTGGGGGCCATCCTGCTCCAAATGCATGATGGTAAACTCCATCCTTGTGCCTTCTTCTCTAAGAAATTTTTGGATGCTGAAAAGAATTACACTATCAGTGATCGGGAATTGCTGGTGATAAAGCTGGCACTGTAGGAATGGCGACATCTGCTGGAGGGATCCCCACATCGTATTCTGGTTTACATTGATCATAAGAACCTCCAGTATCTCCAGTCCGCCCGGCGTTTGAACCCCAGACAAGGACGATGGGCTCTCTTCTTTGTCAGATTTAATTCTGACATTACCTTTCGGCCCGGTTCCAAAAATGCCCATGCGGATGCCTTGTCTTGATCATTTGACAGTGCTGACTCTGCGTGTCATATTGAACCAGAACCTATCATTTCTGCCAATCAGATCCTAGCCACCACTCATCTTCAGCCTAAACGCATCCCACCCGGAAAGACCTTTGTGGTCCCTGCCCTTTGTCCCAAGCTACTCAAATGGGCACACGACTCTAAACTTTCTGGACATCCTGGGGTACAATGCACCTGTGCCTTCCTGCAGCATCATTACTGGTGGCCCTCACTGCAAAAGGATGTTTGAAGAACATGTCCAGGCTTGCGCCATTTGTGTGCAATCTAAGTCCTCGACAACTGACAACTGCTCCAGCAGGTCTCCTTTTACCTCTACCGGTTCCAGATGAGCCTTGGTTGCATTTCCATGGACTTTATTTCCAAACTACCTCCTTCTGCTGGTTCCACTGTTATCTGGGTGGTTGTAGACAGGTTTTCTAAAATGTGCCACCTAACTCCACTTCTGGGACTTTCTTCGGCCATCACGTTGGCCTCCACCTTCATTAAGGAGATCTTCCGTCTTCACAGTATGCCCTCTCACATCGTTTCGGATAGAGGGGTTCAATTTACAGCTCGCTTCTGGAGGGCTCTAGCCATGTCCTTCGGAGTCGAGTTGGACTTCTCTTCAGCCTTTCATCTGCAGTCTAATGGCCAAACCAAAAGGGTCAACCAGAATGTGGAACGCTATATTCATGCCTTCATTTTGGCCCATCAGGATGATTGGGTAGACCTTCTACCATGGGCTGAGTTTGCCCTTAATAACCAAGCCAGTGCCAGTACTGGTGAGTCCCCCCTTTTTCACGGTGTATGGTCATCATCCTTCGGTGCCATTTCCTGTTCCTATCTCCTCTACAGTTCCCACGGCTGCAGATAAACAACAATCATTCAATTCCATCTGGGCAGAGGTTTCCAAGAATTTACATCTGGCAGCTTCCAAGTACAAAACGGCTGCAGATCGCCATCGCCGCGTGAGTCCCAAATTCCTCCCTGGTGACAAGGCTTGGCTCTCTACCAAGAATATCCGTCTACGAGTACCCTCTATGAAATTTGCTCCTCATTTCATTGGTCCGTTTACCATTCTCCACCAGGTCAATCCTGTTGCTTTCAAACTTTGCCTCCCTTCACATCTGAGAATCCCTAATGTTTTCCATGTTTCTCTTCTGAGACCCTATATTATCAACAGGTTTTCCCGTCCTCATCGTCATCCTTCCCCAATAGCGAGTACTTCAGATCAGTATGAAGTCAAGCAAATCTTGGATTCTAAGTTCATCAGAAGGAAACTTTTGTATCTTATTGACTGGAAGGGATATGGCCCTGAGGAGAGGTGTTGGATTACCTTCTGCTGATGTTTCTGCTCCCCGTCTGGTGGAATTTTTTCATCGGAAGTTTCCCCTTAAGCCTGGCCCTAAAAAAGTGGGGAGACCTCGTAAGAGGGGGGATACTGTCACAAGTTAGCCTGCAGCCTCTTGTTTGTTTAGTCTTACCTCCTTGCTGTTCTTGTTTCCTTCATGTGTGTTTGTCGGTGCTCATCTATGGGCATCGTCTGCTATTCTCTGGGTTTTATGTCCTTCCCTTTCATCACTTCCTGGCCCGCCTCCTAGCTGGCTTGTCTATTTAAGACATGCTCAGTCTGTCTCACTTTGCCTGTGCAACGTTTGTTGTCGGAGCTCCCCTGTGTTCTACTGAGTATCCGTTATTGTATATCTGTGTACCGACCCCGGCTTCGTTCCTGACATTCCTCCTATATTGTATATCCATGTACCAACCCCGGCTTCGTTCCTGACATTCCTCCTATATTGTCTATCCGTGTACTGACCCCGGCTTCGTTCCTGACATTGCTAGCTTTCCGCCTGTCCTGACCTCGGCTAGCCTACTGGATCTCCTGTGTTCTACTCCCATTGTACCCTGCTCCCACTAGCGGTCTCTTCTACCTCAGCTGGGTGTACCTGGGGGCCGCGACCTGGTTCCAGCCTGCTCCAAGTCCATCCCCACCATCAGGGGCTCTGGTGAATAAGCAGGCTGGGGCTTAGACTGGGGAACCCCAAGTTGTGGATTTGAGAGCTCACTACCAGAGGTGCTGACATCTAATTGCAAATGTGTGCTAACTAAACCCCTGTATTTAACGCATAGTGTTAGACAGGTTAATTTGGTTTGTTTGCAGGCTGGCTGGCAAGTTAGAGCTGGGAATTTTTCTCTTTTGTTGTTTGACATGCGTCGTCCTTCCATGTGCTCCTTGCTGTGAAGGCCAGTTATAGACTGGAGCAGTGGCATTCCTACGAAGACATATCTACCTAAAAGCAAAAATATGCCTAAAGCAGTACCAAACCCAAACACAAAAAGGTAACATACTGCAGTTTCATAATCCTCAAAAAGTAAAAAAAAAAATTTTAAAAGGTGGCTGCATTCCTACATAAGGTGAGACCATGGAGAAGGAATATAGCCACCCTCTAACAAGAAGTCAGATGACAGCGGCAAAAAAAAAGAATTTAGAGATTTGGAGGAGGCAGAGAACAATAGAAGGAATTTAATCACCACTGGGATTTTTATTTTTTTGCTATATAAATGAAAAAGTCCAAACATTTTGAAAAAAAAGGGGTTTTCTTATAAAAGTTTGCAAATAAATAATCTTTCTTCATAAATCTTGGCTAAAATGTATTCAGCTAACTTTTTAGTAAGAAAAAATAACCCAAATTAGTTTCTAACCAAAAATTATAATTTTTCTAATTTTTTAAAAAATTTTTAAAATTATTATTTATTTTGTTTGTTTGTTTTTTTACCGTCACCCTAGCAGTACAGCGTCACCATAGTGACACTGTACTACTTGGGGGTGATGAAGATTTTTTTTTTTTTTACACTGATTGCTTTTACACCCATTTCTCCTTCTCTCTGACTGCATTCTTGCAGCCATTGAGAAATACTGTGTGAGCTGTGATTGGTCACAGCTTGTCACATGGTAAAAGGCTGTTGTGAATAGCCTTGTACCATGTGATCTCTGTGATCATTCACAGATTTCACTGGTAGTAAGCAATTATGTCAGAAGTGCTTACTACTATTCATGTGCTCACTGATTGGCCAATCAATGATCACATGATCGGGACCTCACACAGAGGTCCTGTACAGCGATCTGGAGGACACAGAGGGCACCGGATCGCAGTGTCGCATGCTCCAATGGAGCGCGCACAGGTAGTGAATGTGGGGGCCATTTATGAACAGTGACCCACTTTGGCACTGCTCCCGTCCGGCCGACGGGAAGTGGTTAATGGTAATTCAATGTACAATCAGGCAGAAAACACTAATGATGTGTGACAGTGTTGCCAACCTGACAGAACATGGAAAATGTAATGACTGAGCACATTTTTTACTGACAGCCTGAGAAATAACATAAAACAACTAAGACAATCAATATTTAAACAGTATACTGTAAACACAATATGGATACACTGACAATACACACAAGTAATTTGACTGGTTTACACTTACAAAGGTCAACACAGTATGACAAATTATCAGCCTCTGATATTTACAGACCGTTCTAAAAATTACTGATTTGTACACATTTCTGTAAATTTACTTATGATTGGCAACCCTGGCGTGTGAATAATTGATAAATTAACTATAATAACATATACTCCTTTTTGATTGATCAGAAAGTAGAGCAATTCTCTATATGGAAAACTGAATATTCCAGAAACAAATTTTGGTGGTAAACTTTACAGATAACAGACTCTTTCAAAATCTGCTGGACTGACGTACAGGTCAAACTGGTTGATTGAATCCACAACAAATCACTGGCGATAGTAGTAGCATCCATAGCACAGCCCTGTCTGGTACTGTGAATAGTTGGATTTGCACTTTCATTGTTCTGTTAGCTGCCTGCTGCTGCTCAGGATACAGCTGCATTACAATCATCCTGAGCAGTAGATGTGGATTGCTGATTCAATCCCAATCAAGGGTATTATTCCCCTTGTGAGCATGTTCTCCTTTTTGTATTTATGGGTTTCCTATAAATAACCTGGTTTCCTTCCAAATACATACTGGTAGATTAATTAGATTCAACCCTCAATTGTCTGTTTTGTGTTGATTAATGTGTAGTAGAAACAGTGCAATGTACACACCTTGGTGGCAGGGTATTATAGACATGGGTCAGATAGGTGTCACACACTGGCGTAGCACCAGGGGTCACAACTGCAATCCTGCCCTTGTTCCAGGGGTCCCAGGCAGCCCAGATGGCCTCCCTGTTACATTAACCACTTGCCTACAGGGCACTTATACCCCCTTCCTGCCCAGGCCAATTTCCAGCTTTCAGCGCTGTCGCACTTTGAATTGCGTAGTCATGTAACACTGTACTCATATGAAATTTTTAGCATTTTTTTGTGACGGATAGAGCTTTCTTTTGGTGGTATTTAATCACCTCTTGGATTTTTATTTTTTGATAAACAAACCAAAAACCACTGAAACTTAAAAAAAACAACATTTTTTTCTTAGTTTTTTGTTATAAAATTTTGTAAATAAGTGATTTTTCTCCTTCACTGATGTGTGCTAATGAGGCTGCAGTGATGGGCACAGATAGGCTGCACTGATGGGCACTGATGAGGAGGCACTGGTAGGTAGCACTGATGGGCATTGACAGGCATCACTGATGGGCACTGAAAGGCAGCACTCATATATGCCACTGATAGGTGGCACCAGGGGTGGACTGACCATTCGAGCACCCCGAGGGCCCGGGGTCAGTAGGGGGCCCCATGAGATGGCCCTGGTACCTTTCATTAGCTTTTTCATAGGCTTTTTTGGGTGTGGGCAAGGTCACAGGGGCCCCATGATCCCCTATTGCCTGGGGCCCCATGAGTTGTCAGTCCACCCCTGGGTGTCACTGATAGGCGGCACTGACTGGCACTGATAGGCGGCACTGACTGGCACTGTTAGGTGGCACTGAGTGGCACTGTTAGGCAGCACTGACGGGCACTGATAGGTGGCACTGATGCGCACTGATAGGTGGCACTGACTGGCACTGATATGTGGCACTGATTGGCAGCACTGGTAGGTGGCACTGATTGGCAGCACTGGTAGGTGGCACTAACTGGCAGTGATAGGTGACACTGAAAGGCAGCTCAGATGGGCACTGATTTGTGGCATTGATGTGCACTGGTAGGCACTGATATGCGGCATTGATGGGGCACTGATGGGCACCGGCAGGGGGCATTGATGGACATTTGACAGGTGGCACTGCTGGGGCTACACTGATTATCAAGGCACACTGATCATCAGTGCCCTGATGACCAGTGTACATCTGAGGGATGCCGATTACAGGCTCTCCACTCCTCACGAGCTGTCAGCGTGACAGCTTACGAGGAGAGAAATGCCAATAACAGGCTTTTGCCTATATACATGCGATCAGCTTTGATTGGACACATCTGATCACATGACCAAGCCGACATCTTCGGCTCTTTCCGTTGATCAATGATCCGCTGTGTCCGAGGGACACAGTGCACCACCGATTGCCGCGCTGCGCACCCCCGGAGCCGCGCATGCGCGGTTAGAGTGGGAGAATGTCATATGATGTCCTCCCAGAACGAGAGAACCACCTTGTGCCCGTCATTACCTTATATGCGGGCTAGAGGCTGTTAAGCTTCGCTGTCCTGCCATTTAGGATCTTGTCATTCTCTCAGAGCCCTCTGCAGGAAGCAGGACAGCTCTGGATGGAGGGCAGGGGCTGCCCGAGTTAACAAGCAGCTGATTGCTTGGCAGGATGTAGGGCAGTCCTAGCAACCAATCACCATCTTGCAGCTTGTACTGCCCAGCCCTCTGTCCAGACCTGAACTCAGCACACAGTTAACCCTTTAATCACCCCACATGTTAACCCCTTCCTGTCCAGTGTCATTAGTACAGTGTCAGTGCTTTTTGTTAGCATTGATCACTGTATTAGGGTCATTGGGACGTCAGTGGCAGTCAGTCAGTTCCCCCCAGTGTCAGAATGCCCGCCGCAGTCCCGCTATAAGTCGCTGATCACCGAAATTACTAGTAAAAAAAAATAGTACTAAAGATTCCAGTATATATACCGCCATTTATAGACAATATAATTTTAACTTAAACCAAATAATTTACATGTATTGGGATTTTTTTTAGTAAAAACATGTAGCAGAATACGTTTTGGCCTAAATTTATGAAGAAATTAGTTTTTGTTTATTTTTTTTTACTGGATATTTTTTATAGCAAAAAGTCAAAAATATTGTTTGTTTGTTTTTCAAAATTGTCAGTCTTTTTTTGTTTATAGTGCAAAAAATAAAAAACGCAGAGGTGATCAAATACCACCACAAGAAAGCTCTATTTGTGGGAAAAAATTACATAAACTTAATTTGGGTGCATCGTTGCATGACCGCAAAATTGTCCGTTAAAGTAATGCAGCGCCGTATTGCAAAAAATGGCCTGGTCAGGAATCCTCTGGAGGGCAAGTTGTTAATGGAGGAGGGGCTGAGCACATTAATGGAGGGGGGCTAAGGATAATAATGGGGGGAGCGGAGGACATTATTGAAGGGGGGGCTGAGGACATTAACAGAAGGGGAGGCTGACGAGCAGTGGGTTAAACGGAAAAAAAAACCCAATTCCCTGATTCACACACTCGTTGTGAATGGGGGTATTGTATTTTGATATCGGGGAGACTTCTCTGCCATCAGAATACACTGATCAGTGCTGCTGACTATAGCGGGGGAAAATCCGACAGGGTGTTTGTACAGAAATCTATTGGTAGATCAATTTCTGTACAACCAGCCTGCCCAAACATGGATGTTGAACTGGTTGAAATTCGATCCATGTATGACCGGCTATAGATACTATCTAATTCCAGGGAAGGTGGTAAGCAGAAGGCATTCTTCATGAAGCCCTAATGATTCATGTGTTTTGTAATAGCCAGGCAATGTCAGTAAATGAGCACCTGATGCAATCCCCAACATGGAGACATACAAAATGCTTCCACCAGTTTCTTTGACATGTGTTTGCTATCTGAGACCAGTTGAAGTTCTGGGTATTTTAACCACTTGCCTACCGGGCACTTATACCCCCTTCCTTACCAGGCCAATTTTCAGCTTTCAGCGCTGTCGTACTTTGAATGACAATGCAACATTGTACCCATATAAAATTTTTATACTTTTTTCACACAAATAGAGCTTTCTTTTGGTGGTATTTACTCGCTGCTGGGTGTCTTATTTTTTGTGCTATAAACAAAAAAAGAGCAAAAAAATTGGGGGGAAAAAGTTTTTCTTTGTTTCTATTATAAAAGTTTGCAAACAGGTAATTTTTTTCGTTCACTGATGTGCGTTGATGAAGCTGCACTGATAGGTGGCACTGATAAGTGGCACTGATGAGCTGGCACTGACTGGTGGCACTGCCGGGCAATGACTGGCGGTACTGCTGGGTGGCACTGATGGGCACTGACTGACGGCACTGACTAGCGGCACTGCTGGGCACTGACTGGCGACACTGCTGGGCACTGATGTTTGGCACTGCTGGGCGGCACTGGTGGATTTCACTGCTGGGCTGCACTGATGGGCACTGGTGGGTGATACTGATGGGCACAGGTGGGTGGCACTGCTGGGCAGAGGTGGGTGGCACTGATGGGCACAGGTGTGTGGCACTGCTGGGGACTGATGTTTGGCACTGCTGGGCGGCACTGGTGGATTTCACTGCTGGGCTGCACTGATGGGCACTGGTGGGTGATACTGCTGGGCACAGGTGGGTGGCACTGCTGGGCAGAGGTGGGTGGCACTGATGGGCACAGGTGGGTGGCACTGCTGGGCACCGATCATCAGGGCACTGATCATCGGTGCCCTGATGATCAGTGCCTATCCCTCCTCTGACAACTGCCAGTTCTCGGCAGTACTTTCCTCACGCTGTGACAGCGTGAGGAAAGTGCAGCCGATAAACGGCAATTGCATTTCCCGGTGATCAGTGTGTCATTGGACACGGCTGATCACGTGGTAAAAGGCCGATGTGATTGGACTTTTACTATATCATGTGATCAGCTGTGTCCGTAGGACACATCGATCATGGAGATCGCAGGAGAGCACGTTCTGGGAGGACGTCATATGACGTCCACTCAGAACTGGCCGGATGCAGTGAAGCCGTCATTCGACTATCTGTGGTCGGCAAGTGGTTAATGGCTACTCTTCCTCTCTATTCGTCCATCCATCCATCTGTCTGTATTATTATTATACAGTATTTATATAGCGCTAAAAGGTTTGCTCAGCGCTGTATCTATCCGTGTATCTATCTATCCATCTTCTTCTTTCTTTCTTTCTTTCTTTTCTTTTCTCTTTCTTTTCTCTTTCTTTCTTTCTTTCTTTCTTTCTTTCTTTTTACATTTACCCATTCTGTGTACAGATTTCCTATATGATTGCAGCTTGATTCCATAATTTCTCCCTCCATTGTAAGAGGGGCACACTGAATACCACTGTAACCACACTGACCACCTACAGTATGTAAGTAGCAGTGACATCATCACTTTTCTGTACATAATGTGTCTAGAGAGCAGAGCTGTGGGAGGGGCCCCGAAGCTCCACCCACTATAGGCTGCCTGCAGAAAACTACAGGAGGGGCAGAAGCAAAACCAGCCCCCTGCACAAAGCGAGAGCAGCAGTTGCCAGTCTTTATTACAGTAAGCTCCTGCAAATTTCAAACGGGATTATTGCACAGATCTGGAAGAAATACGCAAAGAACACAAGGTTCACATAAGAATACACATGACTCTTGCATTAAACTATTTTCACTTATCCTTGAGTACAGCTGTAAAGTGTTACTAAACCCAGAACATTAAAATCAGTCAGTATATGCCAGGGGTGGGCAAATTTTTTGACTTGAGGGCCGCAATGGGTTCATATATTGGACCCGGGGGCCGGACCAAGAGTAGATGAATGATGTGTATGTGTCATCCATAGTAAGTATAGTAATATTTCCCCCATAGTAAGCATAGTAATTAATCCCCCATATAGTAATTCATCCCCCATAGTAATTCATCCCCCATATAGTAATTCATCCCCCATAGTAATTCATCCCCCATATAGTATTTCATCCCCCATAGTAATTCATCCCCCATATAGTAATTCATCCCCCATAGTAATTCATCCCCCATATAGTAATTCATCCCCCCATAGTAATTCATCCCCCATAGTAATTCATACCCCCCATAGTAATTCATCCCCCATATAGTAATTCATCCCCCATATAGTAATTCATCCCCCATATAGTAATTCATCCCCCATATAGTAATTCATCCCCCATATAGTAATTCATCCCCCATATAGTAATTCATCCCCCATAGTAATTCATCCCCCATAGTAAATTCATCCCCCATAGTAATTCATCCCCCATATAGTAATTCATCCCCCATAGTAATTCATCCCCCCTATAGTAATTCATCCCCCCTATAGTAATTCATTCCCCATATTAATTCATCCCCCATATTAATTCATCCCCCATATTAATTCATCCCTCATATAGTATTTCATCCCCCACAGTACTATTCCCCCCCAAGTAGTAAGCCAAGTCCCCCGTGTCAATTCACTTACCTTTGCTCCGCGCGTTCCTCTCGCCGTGTTCCCGCACCGTTCCGGTCTTCAGGGCGGACTGTGAGAGGAGCCTAGCTCCCCTCCCCTCACGTTCGTCACGCTGCCCCGCCTACACACATCCTGACAGCCACATCTGCGGGCCGATTAAAAGGTCCGCCGGGCTGTATACGGCCCGCGGGCCGTAGTTTGCCCATTGCTGGTATATGCAATAAAGCATGCTTGATATACTCACTGTGGAACCTAAGGGGTTAATTCTCTGGTGTGTGTAAAAACACTATTTGATCCTGACTTCTCTGATCCTCCCTGTCTTTCAGTGTCCACACATATTGTGTGGCTACACTCTGCACATGCTCAGTTTGAAGTGTATTTGTAGAGAGTTTTTTGTTTTGCTTGGGAGAGTGCACGTGATCAGCACAGGGCCAATTAGCGCTGTCCAGACAGAGGTCAGGACTTCTGCATCCTCCTAGAGCAGAAAGAAAACTCCTCCTACAAGCTTTAGTTAGTGCTTGACTGGACACTGATAGAAGTCACAATACTGCTCTAACTGCTGATGAGAGAAAAGGTATTTAGCAGTTTATGTAAATAAAATAAGTGCATTTCCATGTTGTGTGTACTGTGGGAGACCAGATATAGTGAATGCAGGGTCCTGGGTTTAGTAACACTTTAAGCATGTACTTTTAGGTCACACTCAATATCCAGTGCAATTTAACCAAATCCACTCACCTTCATTTTGTAAAGTGCTGCGCAAACTGTTGGCACTATATAAATCCTGTATAATAATAATCATGGTGCGCTCTGCATGTCTGCATATTGTAAGGTACTGAGGTTGTGGTTACATCTGTGAGGGTTTGTTACAGAGTAATTCAAAAGTATATTTTGTGGGTACTGAAGGATAGTAGTATATGTATGCCATGTATACAATGAGAGACTCGGCTTTTATTTAACCATATCCCCTTCAAGCCTCTTCTACTGTTAGCTTGAGTTCATTTCCCTGTTCCACGTGGATCATCAGGGGTCTCCAAACTTTCCAGACAAAGGGCCATTTTACTGCGCTTCCGATTTTAGGAGGTTGGCCAGTAGGAGTAGAAAATACCTAGACATCAGTGGGAGAATCCAATATTTCAGTTTTGGCATTAGGGGAAATAATAATGCTCCATCATTGGTGTCAGTGGGAGGAATAGTGCCCCAAGAGCCAGATAAAGGTATGCAAAAGGGCACATTCAGCCCCCGGGCCGCAGTTTGAAGACCACTGAGCTACACCATTACAATCCTAGTTATGTCCCTGCAGATACACAACAAAAAAACCTCTGCATACACTTGGCAAAACGAGAGGCAGCCTGATTATCCATAGATAAATATTTCATTTTTGACATTAGTTGCTTGATTAAAGTGAATACATGTTTCTAACTGATTTGTAGTTGAATGGGGGACAAAAAGTGTCCTTGTACAGGGGCCCTTTGGTCTGTATGTCCACCACGGGGCACAGGGGTCACAGATACCCACAAATTTGACAGCCTAGAAGAAGTCATGCAGAAATATTGCAAAATCAAAATCAGAAAAGACAAGCATAATACTGTTACTGTTTGGCACTGGCTTACAAACAATAGCCTACGTACAATGAAAGATCAGTAGAATATGTGATAAAAATGTTCTCTCAAACCTTTGACCTCTTTCTATGTTCCCAGCCTTTTATTTCATGAATAAGGCAACTCATTTAATGAAAACACACTTACTTCCAAGAAAATGAGAATTAGTGAATGAGAGAAAGTCCCAGTAAGTCTGACATTTTATGGGGTTTCCCCAGGGAGATTTATAGACATGTGGGAGGATTCTGATAATATAAATATCCTCTCCCTGCTACCAGTGTTAGACTGGTATTTTATCTAGTCCAGGTAAACCTGTTCTACACGATGGCCAGAATGCTCATTGCTGTCCTGAGCTCACTGCTCATTCTTCAGTGTGTGCAAGGTAAGTTGCAAAGGAATATATTAAGAAACACAGAGATGTGACTATTGACTGCACTTATTAAGATTGTCTAAGTATCTATGTAAATGGATTAAATAATAACTTTACTTCAATTCTAGGGCTGGTTCCTGAAAGAGAATATTTGTCCCTAGAAATGCTTTTTTCTTGGTAATGTCTGAGGTTTTAAGGGTTGACCAATAATATTAGAAACTGTAGTAATACAAAATTAGTGTAGCGTAACCTCCTCAATTTTGTATTAACTTTGTATTATTTGATTTCAAAGGATGGTGTGAAATCCACTTTGAAGTGTTTTTTTTAAGGTGGGTCGTCAGGGGGCGGTAAACTGCAGCTCAACCACATATTTTTACAACCCCCAGCCACAAATGCAAAATGCTATAGAATAACATTTACTGAAGAGGAACAATTACAATTATTTTTAGTATAAAATTTCATATATAGCATGTCCTCCTGAGGAATAACATACAGCGTTTTTGTTCAAGACTCAATTGAGCAATGTGGGTGTAACAGCAATAGAAAAGAAAGGCTTACATTTTTGCTGGTATTGACTGTACAGTTTTTCTAAGAGACAGCTTTGTGATGTTCACTAGAGTAGGTAGAAAAGAAGCAATAGTGCCACCTATAGAAAGTTAAATAAAAATGTATTTGCATAATTAGAATAGCCAGTAAACATATTACAATATATACATACTACTACAACCGCATAGTAATATTATAAAAAAGGAGTTTATAAATTACATTAAAAACTCCATCATGTTAAAGTATAACTAAAGGCAAAACATTTTTTTTAGATCTGGATAACGTGGTGAGGGGTTAAAACAACGGGCAGATTTTATTGATGTGTTTTCTAACTGTCTTGATGTCACAGAAAAAAAAAGTAAGGCTAAATCAAAAATATTGGGTTGCCACCAGGACAAGAATAGAGGGACATCTTCTGAAGAGGATAGTTTTTTTCTGTGACAACTGTCTAAGGGAGGATTTCCTACAAACTGGAAACATATCCTCCAACTTCCAGTTGAGCCCACGGGATGGGAAGTAAATGGAAATCTTCTTGATGAGAGACAGACAGCTAAAAAAAAATAGCAATTACAAAAATGTAAAAGAAATCTGCTAAATGTATACTTTATGTGAGTGATTTTGCATTGTATTGGGGAGTACTTGCTGTATATCACTTTAGCGATAAATATGGACACAGATGCAGTACACAGTTGTACCTTTAGCTAGCACTGAGCACATCTGAACATTTTACGCGTAGCACCACTCCCGAAGTAGCCGCTTGATTATTTTGGGTTCTCTGTTCTGCACCTCAACTCCAAGAACAATCTCGGACCACCCTAACACACCTGGTTGGATAATAGTACTGCAAACACAAGTGCAAAAGACAACCAAAGGAATAGTTTTACAGATTAATAATTTACTAGAGATTATTGAGTCATTAGGAAACAAAAGAATGTTAGCTGTGGGTATTCCCCAAATTGCAGTGTAGAGCATTAAACAGAGTCACAAAGATAATAGATCTGACTGCAGGACCCACAGGCCCTAGAAAGATCTATGATCCTAGGAGCAAGAGGGGGGAAGAGGAGACTTCTCGTCAGTCAGTTCCCTCTAAGCCCTGATGCCACAAGCAAAGAAAACAATAAAGCACAATTTATGAAACCTGGTTAAGAGTTCCACTAAAAATAAATAGTTGCCACATTAAGGGGAAAAAGAGGGACAGCCAGTGACACTCTGTAGACTGAATCCTTTGAGTGGAGGAGTTTTTGAGGTAAGGGTGTCCTTGGTCTCCAGCTAGCTATGATGGGGCCCAAAGATATTACTGTGCAGTGGCAACCAGCAAACTGAATAGGATAGAAAATGTAATTCCCAGCAGAAAGCCTGTAAGTGGATAAGAAGGAGGTAACAGTATCTGCATGCCTCCGTAACACAGTGTCTATTACTGTGTTACGGAGAGTATATGGCTTGCACCCACTCACCAGTCCCTTGGGAGGTGACACAACTGAAATCCGCTGTGGAGGTTCAGGATCCCGGCAGAGTAGATTGGCACTTGGTCTCCTCCTGCCAACCGATCAGGAAAGTGGGTAGTGATGCCTGCAAAGTGACTAGCAGTGTCCGACCCGATTACTGGATGATACTGCCTTGGATTGTTGAGGGTCACCCCATGGTGTTGGGTGATACTGGACTGCCCATCAGGTTCACAGCACTGAACGGTGGTGAGCTGCAGTCTGGTCCTGAAGGGCAAAGTGGCATGCTCCCCTCCGTCCAGCTCCAAGTCCCCACACCAAAAGCTCCAGAGCAGCTGCTGCAGGAAAATATATCCACCTCCTCAGAATACCCTTCGATTTTCCTATTCTCTGGTAGGTGTAATCCAGACAATGCTGAAGAATACAGTGTGACTAGGCTATGGGACTACAAGTCTCAAGATTCTCTGCTTCTCAGGTACACTTTCCACTCTGCTAGAGAAAGAAAGAATCTTGGTCTATGCGGATGACCCTGAATTGCAGGATGACCCAGGCTGGACCTGGCTACATCTGTTCTATTCAAGTGAAAGTTTGGCACAATAGAGATTCAGTGAGCCAAGGCAAATATGCTGTTCCTCAACTTTCTTTTTTCCCAGTGAAAATAAAAGGTAAGACAAGGGTGGCCAGTCTGTTACAATATGCTAATAAAATGTGTGTAGCAAGATTATAAATATTCTACTTATGTAGCTAATGCTGGGTACACATGGGCCTAAAATCATGTGAAAATGGTTAGTTTGGCAGGAGCTGACCGACTTTTAGCCCTTATGGAAGAAAGTCTTATGAACGGCTTCTGTTGGCAGGGGAATGCTGAAAAACCAGCATCCGATCAGTGCTGGCAGCCAATGACTGCGAGTGCTGATCAGTGTGTTTCTGGCGGGGAACACTGCCCTGTCAAAACATAAAGGCACAGTGGGGGAGATAGCCACACTAACATTGCCTGTGTTAGTATAGCAATCGCTCAGCTTTTTTTGTTCAGCCCGCTAGGTTAAATAAAAAAAAATTATAGTGTGCACCCGGCTTTAGAATGGTTAAACTAAAATCCCACCTACGGTTAATTACAATTTTGATATGAGTGTGACTGGCCTTTATGTTACCAACATAGTTTTCTGTGTATTAGAGAAAATATATTGTGGTTTTTATATTTAATTATGCTTTATGGTCGTGACTACTTTTTTTTTTGTAAGGTTAATAAGAAGTGTTACTGTATGTGATGTTCCAAGCTATTTTTCACATTTGTCGGTCTATTCTCATTTGCTGTACAGAACCCAATAGATCAGCTGCATACAGAACTCAATACCTCATGCTGTCATTTACACACAAAGGAGAGACTTATTCCCTTCCATCCCTCCCATGCCTACTTGTTCAGACAGATTGTATGGAATTTGTATTAGAAAGAGGGAGAGATATTGTAATAGTAAGGTTCTGCTGATTTAAAGCATCAGTTTAAAGCTGAAGTTTAGGTATGAGCTCTGAAGCATAATTTCATTTGGTCCAACATCTCATAGGTGACTGTTCCCTGTTGAATCTGCAAATTACTGTAGTAATCACCACTACTGCAGTGATAGCAGCAATTTTCCAGATCCAGTGCCAAACAGCTACACCCTCCTTCTCTTGCTTATTGCTGGTTCCAAACACTTCTCTTGCTTATTGCTGGTTCCAAACACCAGGACATCTTGTATTTTTCTAATGAATACAAGGTTTTCTCTGATGGGATGAGGTGGGGATGGTAATAGTCCCTCCCCCACATCATCCAATCAGAAAATACCTTGTATTCAAAAAATACAAGGCTTTCTATTAAAAGTAGCAGTGCCAAGTTGGTGACCCCATGTGGAAGGTAGGTCACTCTGCACTGGACCTGGATGATAACTACAGTCATTTGCAGCTTCAACAAGCGTCGGCCACATTGGAAATGTGCATACTTACAAACCGGACCAATGTAACTAGGTAATAAAAATCAAACCTAAACTTGAGCTTTAAAAACTCAATAGCTTAAGAACATAGTAGTGACCAAAAACATTATAGCTTACCATTAATATGCTTGCTATGTTGTACATCTTAACTATATTTATTGCTGGATAATCATCTCTTTTTTTCTAGGAATGTCACCACTAGGGAGAAGACGCTGCCATTGCCTTGGACACCTTTCCAATTCTGTTGATATCAAGCAAATAAGAAAATTTGAGGTGTTTCCTGAAAGTCCCAAATGTGAGAAGATGGAAGTTGTGTAAGTTACTGTTGTATTTAGAGAATTTGGGATCAATGCAAAAGTTAAACATGCAATATTTTAGTTCAAGGCTAACAATATACTGCAAATACATATCATACTGCCCAGCAAAACTTTACAATAGTAGCAGCCTTTGAATGGGACCTATCAACAGGAAAAGGGCAAATGACAGGTGTTTGCTAATGTAAATATATATTATTATTATTATTATTATTATTATTATTATTAATAAACAGTAAGGGACATATTTATAAAGCAGTTAATGTGTCATTCACCATATATGTATGTACTGCAGATATATTTTTCCTGGTGCATGTGTTTTAAATAATAGTGATTGATTGACTTAGAGTGAATGTTTGGTGACTGTCAAATTTACTGATTTATAAAGATGCCCCAAATAAAAACAAAATTCCCAACATTCTTTGGTGAGATTCCAATGCCCAGGTTTCTATATGACCTTCCAAGTAACACTTACTGTATTGCCCTCAACTGTCCTTTATGTCACATTATATTTATAGACAAAAGACCGTGAAATAATGTCTTGTTCTTCTTGTGGTCATGGTTTTTGACAAAGAACTGAAAGAACAGGACAGAAGGATCAGACAGAGACACTGACTGGCTGGCTCTGCCTACACATCAGTTCCCTAAGCTATTTTTTGTCCTAGACTACATGTCCAGATGTCAGCACCTTACCTTCTGCCATCTTTATGAGCTCCTTTTGCATTCCCATTGACTTGTTTGTAAAGCCAAAACATTTTTTCTTTCACCCTCTCTATTTGTGCTTGGTACCATTGTCTACAATACAGAAAATAGTGGCAAATCCAAAATTTAACATTTGGCCCTGGAACAGGAAATCTTCCATTGGGGGTCCTAGTGACAACTCTATAAGAGGGCATTTAAACTCATTATGGAGAGATTTCTTCTCACTTCCTGTTGTGTCTCTGGGGCGGGATGTGAAAGGAAATTTCTCCATTGGGACCCAGATAGCAAAAAAAACCCACATGGATCTTAACCCCCCCCCCCCCTACTATATCCTGAATGAAAAGGCAACTTTACATTCACTTTAAGGTTGTACAAAGAATTTAGCTCGTAAGACCTAAAGTGAATCTCAGGTGGTCCACAGCTTTATGAACAGCGGGCTGAGACCCCACAGAGGACTCATCATATTGTGGTTACAGGGGTGATTACTGGGCAGTCACCATGCATATCTGAGGTCAGTGTTATCACCACCAGCACTGGAGGAAACTGGAGGAACCACCACAACTCTTACTCTAAACCGATTGTCACGCATTTACTTTTCGCTAGGTTTTGGCTGAGATTAGGTTGTACACAGTTCCGTTATCACATAGTGTACTGTAAGTCTTACTGCTGTACCTGACTGCCTGCAGCCTAATACAATTGCATTTACTCCCTTGCTGCCACTTACACAGAGCATAATTGAGGGCAAGTATTCTTTTTCTTCCATTACTTTACTCAACAGCTTTGTTTAACAAAGTACAGTCCAAGTGCTTGGTACAGTGTTCTTCCACATAACTGAGTTTATTCATTGCATAAAAAAGGTACTTTTTCTGACACTTCTTTAGGACACACCATTTATGTGCATTACATTCCCAGTGAAGGCTGTCCTGAGTCATAGTCATACTCCCTACTGAGCCTTGGCTACAGTGAATTGCATAGGCCTAAAGTTCTACTACAAGAATCCCTCCGGGAACATGAGCTCTCTTTTCTTCCTTCAACATCTTTCTCCCATCTCAAGCTCCAACCGGCCCCTTTCACCACCTGAGCAGAACAACCCACCAAAAACCAAGTAACTCCTTACAGACCAGATTTAGAGGATAATAGCAAATTTGAGCTTTTAATACAGATCTGGCCATTGACTGTGCCAGTTTTTTTTACACATCTTGTGATTCTTTATATGATGCTTTCTCATTCCCATTTACTGGGAGACGAAGGTAAAAGTGAAGAAACGTATACATGAATGTTCAAGCCATTATATTAGACCTGTACCAGCACACAAAGACAATTGATCATTATTTCTTTTTCAATTGTAGTGCTAAACTGAAGAATGGAGAAGAAAAATGTCTGAATCCTAATTCCAAAATGGTCAAACTTATCCTTAAAAAAAAGGAAAGGACTCGGTAAGCACAGTGACATAGCAATAGGCTTCCATCGTGTGAAATATTTTCTAAGTAAAAATGAATCCTCACTGAATGTGCTATATTGTGTACATTGTGCATTGCCACCGAATATCAATATTTATTTATTTATTTAATGTCATTAGTCAACCACTTGCCCTCCAAAGGATTTATCCCCCTTCCTGACCAGGCCATTATTTGTGATACGGCGCTGAATTACAACTGATAATTGCGCTCTCATGCAACGCTGCACCCAAATGAAATTTATGTCCTTTTTTCTCCATAAATTGAGCTTTCTTTTGGTGGTATTTGATCTCCTCTGCGTTTTTTTTTTTCACTATAAACAGAAAAAGACCTACAATTTTGAAACAAAAACCCTATATTTTTGACCTTTTGCTATTAAAACATGTCCATTAAAAAAAATTAAAAAATAAAATTTCATCATAAATTTAGGCCAAAATGTATTCTGTTACATGTCTTTGCTAAAAAAAAATAAGTGTAAATGAATTGGTTTATGTGAAAGTTATAGCGTTTCCAGTATATATACTGGAATTTTTGTTTTTTTGCTAGAAATGGCGGCAATCATCAACTTATAGTGGGACTGCGGTGGGTATTCTGACACTGGGGGGAACTGACATCCCCAGTGACACCAATACAGTGATCAGTGCTAATAAAAAGCACTGACACTGTACAAATGGCACTGGGCAGGAAGGGGTTAAAATGTTGGGCGATCAAAGGGTTAACTGTGTGCTGTTTTACTGTGTGCACTGTGTGTGTGTTTCACTTTAAGCACACTGCTTTGTATGGCTCTGCTATGCAGAGCATACAAAGCAGTGTGCAGGAGCTGACAGGGGAGAGATCTGTATTGTTTACATACAGGTCTCTCCCGTCAGAAATCCTTGGAGATCGCCGGGTGCTGGCGGGGAATCACCAGCTGGGACCCAGTGATTGACAGCCGAGGCCATGAATAGCGACGCGGGTAGGGTGCACGTGCACACCCCCTACCCGGAACTGCAAAATCACATATACTGTATATACATGATTTTGCGCACACGAGCCGCCCTGTCACAGTATTTCTGCTGTAGGGCGGCACGGAAGCGTTAAATATTGCTGACATAGCAAGCAGTGCTTTACAATGTATGCAGAAACCCTGGATTGGGGGGGGTAATTGGTTTAATGGAAACCTCAGCAGTATCCTATATACCTTTTAGGTATAATAGAAGTTGCTTAGCAACCAATTAATAATTAGTTTTAACTTTTTAATGGAGTAAATGATTGGTATCTGATTGGACACTTCTGAGAAGCTTTATTATGGGCATTGCATGTCTTCTTATCTTTTCCATGGCATAATAATAAAAATGGTCCTTAAACACCACAAATGGCTAACACATATTAAAGGGATGTCTGATTGGGAACTTTTCCTACAACATGGAACAATGTACTGTACTCTACAGTCCTAATTTAGTAATGCCTATTATTATTACTATTATTATTAGAATACACGATTTATATAGCGCCAACAGTTTGCGCAGCGCTTTACAACATGAGAGCAAAGAGTACAGTTACAATACACTTCAATATTTGAAGAATCAGAGAGCCCTGCTTGTTAGGGCTTATGATCTAAATGGGCAGGGTCAAGTGATACAAAAGGTAATAACTGGGGGGGATGAGCTTATGGAGAAAATAAAAGTAAAGTTGTTAGGTGGAGGCAGGATAGGCTTCTCTGAAGAGAAAAGTGAACAGAGTAGGACATAGTTGGACAGGTTAGGGAATTCCATAGGATGGGAGAGGCTATGGAGAAGTCCTGGAGGTGAGCATGGGAGGAGGTGATAAGGGAGCAGGAGAGCAGGAGGTCTTGGGAGGAAGGAAGAGAGCAATTTGGTTGATAATTTGAGACCAGGTTAGTGATGTAGCAGGGGGCCGAGTTGTGGATGGCTTTGTAAGTTGTTAGCATTTTCTTAAATTTGATTTGTTGGGTGAGCAGCACTGCCTAGAAAAGACATTGATGTTTGATGCTGCATTTTCTGTTCCCTTCTCTCTACTTTGCAAAAGTATGTGAGTATTATTCCACTAACCACACAGAATGATGTTACCAGCATGACACATCCTAACGATGCTATATATAGCCGGTTCAGACTAATGCATATCTCAGTATAAATGGAAACATTAAACATTAAAGCTGCATTGACTAAAGTGTCTAAAATATACATTTATAAATCTACCAGTCTGCATTTACATGTCTCTATCTAATCACTAATAAACTGATTTCATTGCACAATCCTTTTACAGGAAATCCTTACAATTCAAGTTCTATATGAACATATAGCACTTAATGTAGAACTAAAAGCAAAACTTTGTTTTTAATATTGGATTGATTAAAGGAGCTTTATAAACTCCATCTGTGGTGATGCCTCTGTTTCCAATTGGGGGGATTTCTCTTCACGTCTTGTCCCATTGCTAAAACAGGAAAGAAATCCCTTCAAAATGATGGAATCCTGGGGTGTCACCAGAAACACTGTTCCCTACTATTCTCTTCTTGAAACAAGCCAACATTTGGGATTTTCTTTCACTCTCAGTGATAGCAGTAAACAGGACAAATAGGTTGAATCTCCCAAACTGGGCATGGACAGCAATACAGACCGACCAAGTGGTCTACACCCTCTCCCAAAAAAGTGTTTCCTTTTAGTAATACTTTAAGTGACTCCCTCCACAATTTGTCTTTTATTACAGGGAATTTTTTTACCAATATGTTATTTTTCAAATATGAACCTCCAAAAATATAGAAGCTGATTGCTAGGGATTAAATACACTTTAACCTAAACATACCTCTATACCTTAATCCAACCTTTAAACCTAACCCTAAACATTAACCTAGTCATTAAATGTAATCCTTAACCTACATTTACCTCAACCAATGTCTGCATTTATTTAGCCAAATTTTTTGCTCTGTCTAAATTTAAAGAATATGTAAACCCAACATTTCATATTCCTGCTATGTGCCTGTTATACCAAGTACTTGAATAAAAAGTATCCTGTTCTCTTTGTATTGCACCGTGGTGTTCCTGCCAGTCCCTCTGCTTTCCTATTAAAAAACTGACCACACTAAATAGGACAACAAAAGCGTTGGTCAGTTTTCTAGCTGTGCTGGGAACTCAGTGTGCTCTTCTCCAATGATCAGACTTGTGCTGTCCTGCACCCCCACTGCACAGACTTTCATTGGAATGTTCAGTGTGCTCTTTCTCTGCAGCTGATCACTTAAAAAGGGGGAAAAAAGGTATTTGTAATTTTTTTTAAATGTGTATACACAAATGTTTTGCCTTTCATTTCTATTTTAAACTAAATGTGTTGTTTTTACAAGGTGAGGATTTTACATATATGAGGGTTCTTCAAAAAGTGTCTGCACTTTTTAAAACTCTATTATATATATATATATATATATAAAATGCGGAAACATTTTGAAGACCCCTAGTGTGCCAGATTTAGATTTCACTCTGTTCATTCATATTCAAATACTAAACCTAGAAAAGCCATGTGAAAGTTTAGACATCAAAATACAATTAACTCTTAATCTGTTCTTGTTGCAGGTCTGAAAGAACATCAGGAAAATAAGAAGACAAATACTCTGAGAATGACCAGTATATCTTTACTACTACTAATATTGTTATGAACACATCAGCAATGATCATTACACATAGTGGGGGAGATCTATTAAGAAAGACATAGACAAAAGCAGGTTCTTGTCTGCTGGAATCTGTTCCTCTTTGCAGTAGCGTTGACTGTTTGAAGCCTTTGTAATTCTGCATAGTTTGAGTAGTTTTACACACATCTATGTGTATTATATCATTGTGCTTGCTACAATATTTATCTGACATGCATGTGTAAGGAGAGGTCAAGGGACACATTTGATGTACCAGTAGGTGCAGTGCTAATTCTTCCCACAATTGGGAGATATATACAGATCAAACTACAGACTTATAGTAAATCATATGCAAGTGATATCACTCTGCTCCTCCTCTTCACTGCCTATGTGTCTTGATTAGTAAATTCCCCCCAGGATGTAATGCATTACTGAGCAAAATCCTGTTATACCCTGTTATAATCACATCATAATAAAAGCACCCCAGCATATTAAAAGGCAATTTAATATGTATGTGCATTTCTTTTAATAACTGGCAAAAAATATATAACTTTGTTTACTATGCATGGGTGAACTTGTAGAGAAAAGGGACACTTTTTTTTATTATTTATTCAGGTATTAATTTATTCAAAAGAGCAGCTAACCACAAAAGGATTTATTTTTTCCATTATCCTATATTTTTTAAACAATTACAATCTATGATTAATAGATCAGTCAGTTATAGTATACCATTTTGGTTTTAATTTCCCAAACCTTATTCTACTACATATTGGTCCATACAAGTGCAAGAGAATATAGCATTGGAATTGCTGCATGGATAGTGTATATGTATATAACTTGAGATCATAGTATGACAAATGGATTAGTTAGTCTGCGCTAAATGGTATGTAGGCAGAAGAGGCATTACCATTATCCAAAGCCAAATGCTGCACCAATCCAAAGTATATGAGCAAAATTATCAAACCAAAGGTCATAAACCATTGTATCTTAGTCACCCTGATTTTAGAGGGGACTCTGATGTAAAGGAGGACTGTGATGGGGACCCTGGTGTAAGGAGGACTCTTATGGGGACCCTGATTTAAGAAGGGTCTATGATGTAAGTGGGTACTCTGATGGAGACCCTGATATAAGGGAGGACTGTGATGGGGGACCCTGGTGTAAGGGGGACTCTTATGGGGACCCTGATTTAAGAAGGGTCTATAATGTAAGTGGGTACTCTGATGGAGACCCTGATGTAAGGGAGGACTGTGATGGGGACCCTGGTGTAAGGGGGACTCTTATGGGGACTATTACTTTATCAATACCTTGTATTTCCTAGTTTGTGTTTTAGGTTAACAATGCTCATAGTATGTATTTAGTAGGCACAGGAATTGGTATATATTATTTATGTATAGGAGACATTTGGTTATTTATTAAAGAAGTATAGCCAAAAGTTTTTAGGCTATGCTTCTCCTATGGATCACAGGAGTGCAGTTCATTATGCACTCCTGTGACCCGTTTTCAGCACACATCGGGCTGGGGGGAGAACTGAACGATCAGTGGTGTTTGATTGCTCAATTCTCACTAGAGAGCCAGCGAGAGACCGATGCAGCATCAATCCACCTAGGTGAGTATAATGGGGTTTTTTTAAATAAGACCATACTTCTCATTTAATTACTGTATATAGTATAAAGGTTTGCAGGATGAATTTTCCTATAATCACATGATTAGGTGCTGCCGTTTGGGTCACATATTTGATTTTTTTTTTATTGGGTAGTTGCTATTTGACAAGGTGGTGAGAGCTCAATGTTTTGCACACTTAGTACACTGATCGTTGGTGGTCACTTGTACCCCTTCTATTTGTAAAAAGCTTACATTCTTTTAAATGAATGCAAAACAATCTGTGATGGAAATGGTGCAGATGAATGCTATGATTTCCCCTCCTCCAATCACAGAACACCTTGCATTAAGAAAAAAGGATAACATACTTTTTTTTAGTGGAGGAGTTGCTGAGTGAGCGACCCACAGTAATCAGTGTATTGAGTGCACATCATCCAGAACTGCAAGTCTCAGCACCAGATGTTCAACGTTGACAGAAGATTGCAGGCTTAAAAAGGAATTTATGTAACAAATGCTGCAGCAGCCAGAGATTGGACACACTTTATTGGCAGTATTTTATTTTTGGCTGGGAAAATGGTCCAAAATATTCTTGGTTATACTTCTGCTTTAAAGATTCAGTATTAAGATTTTTACAGGAAATAGAAAACTTCTCTGTATACAATGCATGACTCACAAAAGACCGGTGATGTATATGTTACCTTTCTGTTGCCATATATGACTCGGCTCAGGGAAAGTCCAACTGAGGGACAACTAATTGTGTAATACTCTATGCTAAGAATGTGATCACTAGATGTTCATAGTTTATTGACACTATGTAGCTGTTGCACTCAAATCATTATAAAATTATTTGTTAAAAGGCATATATGCTGGTTTTATTCTAAAAAAAAACTTTTTGAACATCACTGCCAAATTGCACACTGAAATTGTACACTCATGAGTATTATTGCTTTGCTGTATAATGACATTGAACAAATCAGGTTCCTTGTTAGCTCAGTACCAAAGTGATGCATCCTAAGTGTATATATTTTTTTTTTTGTTGGTAATAGGGAAGGATGAAGTGTCTGAATCCAATTACCTTTGTGTTGGGAGCAGATCATTAGCTTTGCATATAGCTTTGCTGTGCATGCTGCCTGCATAAATTGTTATAATTGATTTATAATGATGATTGTTGACTAAAAATTATTCAAAATAAAGATGAGGTTTATAATGCAACATCTACTGATTCAGATTTTTCCTGTGGTATCAGATGCATTCGTTTATTTATTTTCAGGTACTTATATAGCACCATCAATTTATGCAGCGCTTTACATATATATTGTACATTCACATCAGTCCCTAACCCTCAAGGGGTGTACAATCTAAGGTCCCTAACTCACATTCATACATACACATACTAGGGACAATTTAGACAGGATCCAATTCACCTACCAGCATGACTTTGGAGTGTGGGAGGAAACCAGAGTACCTGGAGGAAACCCACGCAGGCACAGGGAGGACATGCAAATTCCAGGCAGGTGGTGCCATGGTTGGGATTTGAACCAGTGCCCCTAGTGCTGCCAGGTGGATGTGCTAACCATTTAGCTACTATGCGTCCCCATTAGTTTCTATCATTATCATTATTACCATTGATTCACTGAACTAAACTATGAAAAACAGAACTATATTAACCACTTGCCCTCCAGAGGATTTACCCCACTTCCTGACCAGGCCATTTTTTTTTTTTGTGATACTGCACTCTGTTACTTTAACTGACAATTGTGCGGTCATGCAACACTGCACCCAAATTAAATTTGTCCTTTTTTCCCCATAAATAGAGCTTTCTTTTGGTGGTATTTGATTGCCTGTGTGTTTTTTATTTTTTGCACTATAAATAAAATAAGAACAACAATTTTGAGAAAAAAAACTAAAATTTTTACTTTTTGCTATTAAACTTGTCCAGTAAAAAAAAAAATTTGAAAATCAAATTTCATCATAAATTTAGGCCAAAATGTATTCTGCTCCATGTCTTTGCTAAAAAAAAAAAAAAAAAAAAAAAAAAAAAATCCCAATTTGTGTAAATTAATTGGTTTATGTGAAAGTTATAGCGTTTACAAATGGCAGTATAGATAGTGGATTTTTTTTTTTTACTAGTATTGGCGGCAAGCAGCGGCTTACAGCTAGACTACAGGACAGCAGAAGGCATTCTGACACTGGGAGGAACTGACTTGGTGTCACTGATATCAGTGCTAATAAAAAGCACTGACACTGTACTAATGGCACTGGGCATGAAGGGGTTAACATCTGGGGTGATCAAAGGATTAACTGTGTGTTGTTTCACTATGTGAGCTGACAGGGGAGAGATCTGTATTGTTTACATACAGGTCTCTCCCCCGCCGGAGATACTCGGCAATCACTGGATGCCGGCAGGTAATCACCCGGGACGGTGATTGACAGCTGAGGCTGCGAATGGAGGCTTGGGTAGTGCGCACGCGCGCCCCCCCCTACCTAGAACTGCAAAATCACGTATATATACGTGATTGTTGCGCACACGTGCCATCCTGTAGCAGTATTTCTGCTATAGGGCAGCGCGGAACTGGTTAAATTGTTTCAGCACTTTAGCCAGACAACAATGAATAAAATGCAATCAAAGGAAACCTTTACTGAGAAATGTACAGGCTGATATTTCTAGAATTTTTCTGAAATTGCGAGTTGCTTAGATGTCTTTGTCTTCCAAACAGAACCACTGACCCATAACAAGTATACATCCAGCAAAGACCGTAAATGTAAAACACCTGATTATTAAACATCAGCTATAGGTTGAATAAATGTATGTCATGCTCACTTGACCAAATGCTAGATCAAGCTAGATCTAGATGGACTTGAAATGTTGATGTTAAGGCCAATCAGTGTGGTTGAGACAACTTAAGACAAATGCAAAAAAGTTGTCATGATCCCTTCTAATACGCTTTTTTTTTTTTGCCCCGCAAGTAAGTTAACATATATTTAATATTTTACCTATAGCTTCACATCAACAAATCAAACCATTGGGAGTTGGTGGGTGAATAAGGCCCTATTTACTCCTGAGTGTTTTTTAGCTCATAGCTCCAAAATACTCACAACATCCAAAATCCCAGTTTTCAGTAGTGCCAATTTACACTAGAGGGTAGAGTCACATGAAGCTTGTAGCTCATATAGGTACATGGACTCCTTTTTAGCTATAAACTTCAAGCTCCAAGCAATCATAGCCCCAAAAAATGTAATGGAAAGCACCTAAAAAAAGGCACAGACACATGTGAAAAAGCATGCAGAATGAGACATCATGTGTTTTTTTTTTTTCTCCTCCTAGTAATTAGCCTTACTAGTAAATAGCTTTCTAGCCAAACACAAGTTTAAA